TTAGCAACTTGGAAGACCCCCTCACCAACTCCGAACACAGGAACGGAACGGCTTGGATGGCAGGAATAGTCAGCAGAAAAGCAGCAGTTCTCGACTGTGGCGGGTGGCTTAGGGGCTTCCATCATGCTGTATAACGTGCATTCCGTTATCTGCAAACTATGATGACCGGATAGGATGACTATATGATGGTGTATTGTTTGGTGACGAAATTTGGCTAGAAACGTATCGAGCACCAGGTACGTAATTGTATGCAAAGGAACTGTACTTGCCTGTAGGGACGGACTGGAAGACCCCGTTTCCATACCCACACACAGGTCCGGGACGACTGCTGTGCGCTGACGGGAAAGACACGACTGTGATGGGGGGATAAGGGACTTCCAAATGGCTTAAGCTGATGCGTCCCGGGCTGGAAGAGTTTAACTCAAATCTATAACAGGCGTAATTGGGGATGACAAAGCTTCTGGTGGGAGCAGCGGTGTCACTGGCTTCTTTACTTTCAGCGGAACCCGAATTTTTTGAAATCCGTAGTCCTCAAATTCCCGAAACAGCAATCCCTCAGGCCATGTTGATGGATCCAGTGCTTTTCCTTTAAACGAGGGGTCGAGCCCAATTTTGAAAGACACGAAAGAAAGGGAATCCAATTTCCTGCCTTGCGGGACGAGCTTCACCACGGCAAGCTCACTATCAATCTCCAGATTGGCTTTGACTTTTGATCTGTGTCATTGATTTAGAATGACTCGGAAGGTGACATACGGGCTATAACGATGAGTGTCCTATCTGATGCATGAGATGATCATACTGGAGTCACTCCAAAAGTATATGCGCTTAACTTGGATGGAATGACCTTCTTCACTGTTTTTTTGAAGACTCCAGAGAACCCCTGCTTGCAACTCCAAGCGAGGGATTGGTAGTAACTGTAGTGGGGCACCTTTAGTTTTTGAAGCAACATCGTATCTGTACACTGTCCTGAACACTGAAGTAAGCCACGGTGCAGTATGCTTGTGCACCGCTAGTTCTTCGAGATCTCCTTGTAGACTGAGTGAAAAGCAGAACAAATCCTCGCCTGGCTACCAAGATATCCCAAGTAGTCGCTCACATCCTCTCTGGTTCTTCATCGTGAGATTCTTGACAGTAGCTGGGTTATCTTCTCCTATTGTCTCTAGTACCTTGGGCCTATTTGACACCCTGTTGCGAATGTGTAAACCTACCCTCCGATGGATCTCCACCTCTTCCAGAGCCAGCTCAATCGCTTCTTCCTCCGTGTTGACGCTGACCAAAAAATCGTCGACGTAGTGTCCGCTCTTGGATGGTCTTGCTCGTTTTCCGCTGCATTCAGATTTGACATACTGTGATTGAGCTAAAGAACAAGTCGCTCCGAAGATCGCCACGTCAGATACCATAGTAATCATGGGTTGAGGTGGCGAATTGCGGGACACAATCAATAGCACACTTCGATCTTTTCTTCTGATTCCGACCTGCAGGAACATTTCTTGGATATCGCCAGAGAATGCCATCTCCCGTTCACGAAACTTAAACGTAACAGTCAGCAAATCAGGACCTCTCAACAACATCGTGTTTAACGAGACTCCTTTACCGATGCGTCCCATATTACCCTTACCTTTCCCGGTTTATTAAGTTTGGTGTGGGTCGAATTCTCTAATTCCTTCTTCCGTTACCGCTTGGATGTAACTTTTTACCTGGTTATCAGTCATTTGAAGCCGTACACTGTCGTACAGTTGCAGATGCTTCTTAAGACGCTTCTCGAGACATTTCAGACAACGTTCGGCCATCGGTCTGCTATTCGGAAATGCGATAGAGTCTTATTTCCACAGGAGTCCAGTCTAGTACTTCCCGCTAGTTGTTCTTACCGTCGTTTCTTCGAGGATTCGACAAGCTCGTTGATCTTCACTTCCTTCCAAATTCGGCACCACGGAAACCCCTAGACTTTCAACAGAGAAAAAATTACGTACGAATTCGTGCAGATCGTGCTCCGCTGGTTCCACGCACAATGTGCATCTTCCGCTGTTGGAATTGTTGAGCTCCCCCTCGTAGACTACCGCAGACAACCCGTCCGATAAGAGTTTCCGCAGCGATTTGATCTTGTTCCTCTCCTTCTCGAACCTTGGACGTGGTCAGGAGGTTAGCGTTGTTCAATCAAATCAGCAAACTAGGAACGGTTCTCTGGAAACTCTTAACTGGGAAGTTTCAAAAATGGTTGTACTGCTTAACCATGCTTTTAAAATCCTACGATTGCTATGGTAGCCCCAAGTTCTCGACGGTGTAGACTTCCGACACATCGAATCTATTTTTCCCAGCTTTACCAGTTGTGTGGTGGCAATCTTTTTGGATTGCATTTTGCAGCTTCAAGTTCATCTGCTATTGCCTTTTCTACTAGGCCCGACCGATGATCCATCATCCAGAAACGCCTAGGTATAAACGGAACCATCCTTTCCGTATAACTTCACCGGAAGTATCTTGAACATCGTGGACGAAACAGGCTGACGATGAATGGTGACAGTAGCGTTAGTGGTAACCGCAGATTATCCTGAGCAGGACTTGAAGAGGGAACGCATTTTGTCTGTCCCTGCATGAACTTGTACATTTTCCGCATTCACAAGTACAAACATTCCCGATGCAAAATTCATATGATGCGTACCGTAAAACGGGGTAACATTGATGGTTTTTTGAAGAAGGGGAAATGGATTTAATGTCGGCCTAAATGCCCCTAATTTGGGCCGATACATAATTTTAGCAATCTACTAAATCTTCAATAGCGACCCAAAATATCCATTAGTACCGAGCCAATGACGCGTTCATCTAAATAAAATTGATAAATAGCAGATTTTTAGCGATGGACCCCATCTTAGATCCGTAGACCAACATTAGAGCTATTTTCCCTATATTTTAAATTTTTTTTTACAGCAATACATGAATGTTTTTCATATTTTTTTTTTTTTTTTAAACAAGTAGTGAGGGCCCTAGAGTCAAATCGTTAATAATAAATTGCACGGAAATTATTGCATTTGTACTATTTTTATAAAGCTCGATTCAAAGTTAATCTGGACGCACGGTTTGATACACCACCGCGCCCTGGTGGTTGGAACAAAAAACTTTTGGCAGGCATTTATTGATGTTTCATTGACGAAGAAATTGGTGAAAAATTTTGCTTGATTGATCGACGCATCCCGAAATTACGGATCATGGAAAATGAGAAGAGAAAATTAATTGTGCACAAACATCTAGAGAACCCTTCGTGGTCTGCCTCAAAAAAGCAAAAGAGTTAAAATTCCCTAAGTCAACGGTGAGTCTTGTAATCAAACGTTACAAGAATACTCTTAGTGTTGATAGAGCACTAGGGACAAAGATCTGAGGAGAAAGTTGTTGAGGTAGGTGAAAAACAACCCAGGTCTCCATACGTGATTTGGCAAAGAAATACGATTCCAACTTTTCCACCGTGCGTAACATCCTTTCAAGAGAAGGATATAAGTCTTTTTGTGCCAGTAATCATCCAAATCGCTCCCTGAAACAAAATTTAGTGGCCAAAAAACGAGCACGATTACTATACGAACGATTTTTGATGAAATTTGATGGCTGTATTTTAATGGATGACAAATCCCCGGACGAAAATTTTACCTGTAAACTGGTCGTGAGGATGTCCCTTTCAGGTATAAATTTGTTGTTGCTGATAAGTTTGCTCGGAAACTAATGATTTGGCAAAGAATCTACAGTTGTGGCCTTATCACCAAGGTTTTCATCACATCTCACACAATGACGTCGAAAGTTTACATTAAAGAGTGTCTGAAAAGGCGGATTTTACCCTTCATTCGGCAATACAAAACCAACGTTATGTTTTGGTCGGATCTAGCCAGCTGCCACTACTCTAAGGAGGTACTAGAATGGTATGCTGCAAACAATGTTAATTTCGTCGCCAAAGAGATTAATCCTCCGAATTGCCTTGAGATCAGACCGATCGAAAAATATTGGGCAATTGTCAAGCGAAAACTTCGAGGATGCGGTAAAGAAGTGACAAATGCATTTAAAGTGGAATAAGTTCGCCGGTACAGTGTCACCAGCGACTGTGCAGATCATGATGGCATCGATCACAAGTAAAGTGCGACAGTTCGTTCGAAACGGTGAAATGTAATAACTTGTTAAACATCGTTTGAAAGCTGAATAAATACCCTTTTGTTTGACGTTTTCATCAACCGTGTATGTTGTTTAATTCTTGAATCACTTGAATGCGTCCAAATTTACTTTGAATCGTGCTTTAGTCTTGTGATCAAACATCAGTATTTTGAATTGGGGTTACTTTGATTATGCTAGATTAATGTAGAAAAATATGCGTGAAACTCAATCAATTAAGTTCGAGAAACATGAAACTTTGCATAAGTATATAATCAGAAAATGCATATGCAATAAGAAAACAACATTGAATTTGTGATAGCAAAATCTAAAATACATTTCATAAATCATTGCTCGAGTACCTTTTCAAGCAGACGAACATCAAGAAAATTGTTTTTAAATAAGATTGAAAAATATGTAGCAAATGCTATATAAAAGTTTTATACGATATCAAGGGCAATACCCTAAGTTACCATATGGAACCAATGCTTTTAATTCGGAAAAAGTGCAGAGAGTAAATTGATCATTATATTCTACTTTCAAAGTAACCCCGCTTTACAGTACTATTATCATTGACACCAAGAATGAAACAGCATGTTTTTGGAAATCTTATTCCAGCTAAATAGTCAAAAGTTTGACTTCGTTCATACGTTGAATACCTGAAGTAACTTTTCTACAGCATACGATGCGATAGAAGTTATTCGATATGCATCTTATTACAGTCCTCCTACATTGGACCTCAACAAGTTGATAAGACTTTCCCGAGGCAGCACACGGTATCGATGCCATCCTCTATGTCACACCATATAATAAAAGCTATTGGAATCATCCAGTAGAAAATGGCAAACAATAACACCACAATACTACTCATTTCTCACCTGTCACATGGTGAAACTTCTCCGGTGGCTTGCTGAACTCGAATGGATTGCGGACCGCTTGCCATGCCTACAAAGGGATAAGATAGCACACAAGTTTGATTAGTTACAAAAGCAAACAAAACAGATGGGACATATGGCAGGAAGAGAAGCTGCCTGACACTCAATAAATCTGTCCAATTTCATAGTGAAGTATAAATATCTACCTTATAAGTTAACACCGTAACCGATAATGTGTTTGTTCTCACCCGACACGGTCTGTGTACCGAAGATAGTAATCAAAGAAAATGTACACCATCTGTGTAATTACGTATGTATGAGGTTGACTTCAACACAACAGGTTTAATTAATTTATCGCCATGCATCAGGCTTTGCGAGTGTTGTCAGGACGTCGTCGAGATTCAAGTAGGAATTATTGAATAACCTGAATGCAATAATTATGGACCCAGTAAATACTGTCATTAATATTGCTGTACAACCTAAATGTGTTCTCCAGTATACGAGAAATAATTTCGCATTCACGGTAAGCTAACATCTCTATCCTAAACATCAAATCTCATCTGTTATGAACCAACACTATATCAATCGTCATGAAAAGCTCTGTATCGTTGAAAGCACATGATTTCATCTCAAAGGAAGATAATGACCATTAGAGTGATGATTTAATCGTGTTTCAAGGAAGACGTCCTCCCGATAAACATAGTGTCCATGTTTCTTACTTTAGACATCGCTGCCTGGGTGTACCAATAGCTGAATGCATATCTGTTAAAAGGCATGATTAATTCTAACAAACGACTGTCTATCCTAACTAACAGGAATGTCACTACTGTGGTAACAAGCATGATTTATGATATCCATATGGACGGTCTCCTTCGTGGGCGACAATCCTGTAGACGGATGTATAGGAATTTTGAATAAGTTGGTTTCCGAACGTAGGACGATGAATTATTAATTCGCCTACTGCGTGTATTGTTTCCATGACAATTATAGATGATTAAATGAGCGAAACAGATCTGCCAAATAAACTACCATACGGCCGATGAGATTGACTTAAAAATTAGTGGTTTTCACTCAAAATCGCAAAAGAAAAACGTACGTTGCCCATAGACTGACTGTGCCTCGCTTTTCCTCAAAAATCTCCTCGAATTAACGAAAAATTTAATGAGACTAGAAGTAAAGGGTGTCCCATATCAAATTGTATCACGGAAAAAAACGCTGTAGAAAACTACCTAGTTGACCGATCCTTTTCAAGCATTCAGACAATAAAATAAAACCCATTAGTAAGCTGTTGGCACATTTATTTCATTCAACTTCAATATCATAACCATACGCTCGCTACTAACGCTTAACTCCACTCATTAGGTTCTGAACAACATCTGGTTGCAGCTTCTTCTGTACGGGAACCCACTTTTTCTTCGTGTCTTCCTCAGATTTGGATGCTTTGGTAGTGCCTGCTTCATAATAGCCCAGTTCCGGTGCGATGGGCCTTAATTCCGGTGTGTTGGGGGGGGGGTCCTGTTCTTGGGTACGAAAGTGACCCCGTTGGCTTCGTACCACTCCAGAATAACATTTGAATAGTGGCACGAAACTAGATTCCGGCCAGAGATGCCGGAAGTCCGCCTTGACGTAAGTCTCATCATTCAATGAGACAATTAGGCTTCGTCAGCATCTGGGTGTACGGTAAACTGATGCAAAATTTGAAATTATCGCTCCACAGTGTTCAAACGGTTTCAAATCGGGTCCTGATTAGCCTCTGAAAGTTGAAACTCATTTGATAAGAAACTGACTTGGCACAAACCATTTGAAGTTCATATGGAAATTACTATGGGAAAACAAAATTTTTTGTTCATTGTCTTCTAGCCTTTTTACATAATGTACTGTTAACAAACTCTATTGCTATTCTTATGGGAATTTTTATTAGCTACAATTTTACAGAAAATGGTTATGCAGCCAAACGTCAAATTAAATAGTTATTAATTGTTTCAGAGATTGATAATCTTATGGCAAGATTAAGCAACTTTATTGTGGGCAACACTGTATTCTGCAGTGTGACATAGTAACCATGATTTTTGTCCTCTATTCTACGAGCCATAAACATCAATGTTGCCTGCTGAACAGTTAATTGAGCATAATCATAAGACATTAGTGACTTGAATCATTAATAATTTTTGTTCCTTACAATTGATCGAAAAGTGGTCTTGAACAAAGTTGTAGCTGAGTAAATTTTCAACAAGCTCAGCTATCATTTTCTAAAGTAGAGTGAACAAGTTAATTATGAACCGAAATTATGGTTTCTCCATAGTAATTCCCATATGAACTTCAAATGGTTTGTGCCAAGTCAGTTTCTCACTAAATGAGTTCAAATTTTGCGAGGCTAATCAGGGCCCAATTTGGAACCGTTTGAGCACTGTGGAGCGAAAATTTCAAATTTTGCATCAGTCTAGTGTATAGGTTCTGGGCCCGTGACTTTCCCACCGTATTTTGCCGTTCGTCGTGATTTGGAGCCTTCTGCACTTTGTACGCATGCAGTCCCTCCCAGTCCTTGGCTCTCTGAACGAAAGACTTGGAAAGATTCAAGTTTTTGGCCTCATCCCTGACCAAAGCATTGGGATTCCGCTTAAATGCTTTCACGACACGCTTGTTATCCTGATAACTAATAGACTATAACGGCGCCGGTGGTGTAGTGGTAAGTGTGATTACCTCTCACCCCAGCAGGCCTGGGTTCAATCCCAGTCGGCGCCGCCGGGATGTTCTGAGGCAGACTATCTCTGATAACGCCTTCCTTCGGATGGGAAGTAAAGCCGTTGGTCCCCGGTTCATGAGTTGATGGGTCGATAGGTAGGGTCCAGGTGTGGGAGCTGCCTTCCTGGCACGTCGGTAGCATTGGTGCTCAGCACGGAAAACAAGATCGACGAAAAAAACAAACCAAAGGAAAAAAAAAAAAAAAACTAATAGACTATCCATTCTGACCACATTTCTCCTTCCGTTCGATGCTCAGGGTTTCGTTTAATCACACAACCGAGTTGTTTTCCGATGTCCCGATGAGAGGGTGGATGATTTTCCAGGTGCTTGCGCAAAATCAATTCGCGACGTTGCTTTCCGGGTGACGCCATTTTTTCCAACTTTCAAAAAACTGACAGCGATAAAAATGCAGTGTAAACAATACACTCTAAACTACTTCTACCCAAATTTTCAAGAAAAAATACCATATGGGTAATTTTCTACAGCGTAATTTTCTTCCGTGATGCACTCGATTTTCCTCATATTTGAAAAGTTTTTTCTGGAAAAACGAGAAAAATTTTACTCTGTCAATGAGTAACCTACGTTTTTGCGAATTTTGAGTTGATTTAATCGGCCTGACATGATACAGATTCCCACAAGGAAGTTGTTTACTGACTGTTTAGTATTGTAGGAGACGTTTCATCTGACTCACTACGCAGCTATCTAGCGTGTTACGAAGGTTTATGGGGCATTTGATCGTATTAATGGTACGACAACTATTTTCCCGATTGTAAATTCGGATCATTAAATTGCAAGCCGCTTGGCTTTCCGGGTTAGGATAGGTTAATCTAACCCCGCAAAGAGTCGCGCACAGTGCATCCGAATATGATACGTTTCGACCAAGTGACAGCAAAATCTATTGGCTAACTGGCAAAATTTGCCGCAACGGATCCGATCCAGATGCATTCTGCGCGGCTCTTAACTTTGAAGGTAGGTAGGTAGGTACTTTGCTAGTCGGGACAGAAGGTATCGAAAAGCTGGCATCCAACTGCTACCTTCTAACAGAGCTATGCCTCCACCAACGAGCTGAGGACCGGCTTTACTGGCTGGATAAGCTGGGGATCAAAGGTCATTTCTCGATGAACATTTCAAATGGTCATATCTGCTTTGATCGATTCGCTTCATCGACTTTCTCTTTTCATATCTACTGCTATGCAAATAGATTTCGCGCTAATTCTAACACATAGTTTGATAAAGGAGGTTCTTATGTATATGTATGTATGAATGTATGTATGTCTATACAAACCAACTTCCACTGTCCAGTGTTTTTATGGAAGAAAAATGTGTGCAATATAATCTACTGAATACTGATCCCATTGCAAACAATTTTAGCCCGGAAGTTGAAAGGTGATAGCTCTGTTGAGATTCAGTAACCCATTTCAGAATGCCTGGTCACTCACGTCCATTCCGAGGTTACTTTTACTTACAACAAGCCCTGCATACACGTAGTACCGATATAAAATGTATATTGGTACTGCGTTCACACTTCCATCATCAAAGCAATTCCTGCTTTGTAGATGGCACGTATATAGAAGGATGCATTTCATATTTTTATATCTACTTGTAATCAGTTAGATCTCACCGCTTATGTATTGTGTCCTCGACGCGGAAGCATCGTAGTCTAACTTGCAAAATCATCTTTCCCGGGTATTGTCAAGGGGGCAGAACGCCAATACCAAATACGTAAAAAGACACGGCAAACGTTGCTTCCGGGATTGGAGGCGTAGCACGCTACAGCAACACAACTATTCAAACAAAATTCTTGCCCGGGAGTTTTCACAATAATTTACAATATTAAAACACTGATAAATACACATGATAATAATGAAAACGAATTACTTTTCGCCTTGGTACAAGCCAAAAAGCACGCGGAAAACACGGAATTTGTGACAGCTAAAGTAAAACCGACCTTTTGCGGGCAGAGCCTACTGCGCACTCCAAAGGAGGTTCTTATCTAGCGTTCAAAACGTTAGATACAGCAGGGAAAGGTTTTGCAGCTGAGTTATTGACGCAAGAGAAAGTCGATGAAAAGAATCGATCAATGCAGATAGGACCGTTTGAAATGTTTATCTAGATTTTTTCAATACAGCATCAAGCGAGACCCGGTAACGAGAAGGAAACTTTCTACCCGCTGCTGGATGGATGGATGGATGGAGGAAGTGTAGGATCGAAATCGTTGGAGGTTGGAGAGCATGTGTGGATAAAGCTGGGTTTAGACTAGGCAAGTCAAATGATCAGGTCAGTTGAATTCAATTGGCTTGAAAAGTTGAAACTAGTTCAACTTTTTTC